GAATTCTTGGGGAACAATGTGAGGAACTGTACATTGCAGATAAAGAACATTAGAGAGACGGATGCTGGAGAGTATAGATTCAGATTCATAACGAACGGGTGTGAGAAGTGTGGTGGACCTGGAGTGACTCTTCAAGTTGATGGTGAGTCTTTACCTCAAATACCAGCTAATTCTTGCATAACATAAACTAAATGTAGCATCTTTGCAGAGTATTTATGTTCTATGTAAAATACATATTATGTTTTAAATCATATAATATATTGTATGATTTATGCTATAAAGAGGAGAATTTCAATACTGACAGAAAAATATGGACCAGAAAGCAAATTACAGCAATGAGAATTTAACTACATAGCAAAGTATCACATGTACTCCAGAAAAATGCTTGACTGTCTTTTAGTGATAGGATTTCTCCTCTTTGCCATATCGTTTTCAGCCTCTATCAGAAAATACTACTTTAGAAATTTCCAGTTATTTCTCATATTATATAATTTTAGAACTGAAGGTGGTGATGACCTCATCCAGAGTAAATGGAACAATAAGGGAAGGAGACTTTGTGAATCTGACATGTGGCACAGACAGCTGCTCTCTCAGCCAATCAGAATTCACCTGGTTTAAGGACAACCAGACGCTCCCAGAAACACAGTCCACACTTCACTTCAGTCCCATATCCTATCATCACACAGGAAAATATTCATGTGCTTTAAATGGCAGAAAGGTAGCTGTATCTAACGAAGTGAATATTATTGTTGAAAGTAAGTAAACTTTAATAAAGGAATAAGTTTTTAATTTGGCTGTAAAAAGTATGTATATATCATTTTTATAATAGAGGAATTAAGTGTTGACACAACAGAATGGCAGCTGAAATAATATCTGTGAAAATTAATTGTGGGCTTTATGAAGCAGGGTTATTGTTGTGTGACTCAGCATTTCATTTACATATGAGAATTACAAACATTGCTGCTTTATTGTTGTTTTTGTACATTATGCTCCGCGTTAATATTCATGTTACATATTGGGATCCTTATAGTTAATCAGTTATTATGCCTTTAAACTTTTCAGTTGGCTCTAAGAATTATGTAATTTTTATAATAGAGG